GGGATCAGGGTTACCGCTGAGGTGCAGTAGAACAATTGTGATGATGCAATTTGCAAGTGTCTGGTCGTACGGGCCGGCTTGCAGAGATCGTGCCTTAGGGCATTTCCGTGGACCCTCGGGCTGCGGAGAAAAGGTCCGATAAAAAAAAAACCTGAAGTCTAAACCCTGAACCCCAAACCCTGAAGCAGAAATCCTAGATCCTTGACCCTAATCCCAAACCTTAAATCCCTAAATCCCAAGCCCTAAATCCCAAACCCTAGATCCTAAACCCTGAAGCCTAAACCCTATAAATCCCCAAACCTAATTCCTAAACCCTAAATCCTAAACCCTGAACCCTAAACCCATATCCCATATCCTAAACCCTAAATCCCAAACCCTAATTCCTAAATCCTAAACCCTGAAGCCTAAACCATAAGTCCCAAACCTTAAACCCTAAACCCTGAAGCCTAAGCCCCAAATCCCAAGCCATAAATCCCAAAACCTAAATCCTACATCCCATCCCAAACCCTATAGGCTGCCTTCAATGCAGCGGCAAAGCTTGGACTTAACAGACCTCCGCCTCCCCCGGGACCCCCAGGCCGGGTTTAGGGTTTGGGGTTTTGGGTTTTGGGCTTTGGGTTTAGGGGTTTTGGGTTTTGGGGTTTAGGGTTTGGGGTTTAGGATTTGGGGTTTGGGGTTTAGGGTCTAGGATTCAGGGTTTTAGGGTTTAGGTGGGGTAAATGAAGGTGGGGTATAGGAAATAAGCCCCTATACAGTAGAGTATATACCAGGGATCCTTAAACCTACCTACCTTCATCCCACCTTTTGAGCCCCCTGCAGGTTAAGGGTTTGGGGTTTGGGGTCTGGGGTTTAGGGATTGGGATTTAGGGTTTAGGGTGAATCACAAAAGTACGTAGAATAATTGCCTCTTGGCCTGTTTTTAGTGGTTTTGGGCTATTATCTTACCTCAGGTAAGCGTTTGGGGTTTGGGATGGTTTAGGGTTTAGGGATTGGGGTTTAGGGTTCGGGGTATAGGGGTGAGGGATTAGAGTTTGGGTCTGGGGTTGGGGATTAGGGTTTAGCATTTCGGGCTTAGTGTTCAAGATACGGCCTGAGGAAGAGAGGGAACTTACAAGGACCTGCTCTGAGATTTTCTGAGGTGTAGAATTTCGGTTGTGGGAAAGGAAATGGGAACTGCAATAGATTTTGGTGGCTGTAGAGGGGCTACTAGGAGAATCCTTTCCTCCCTTCCCTAATACATAGCAACCCAGTAAGTCTGAAGTGTTGGACTGTGGGTTTGGGTTTTGGCGTCATCATAGGGTAGGGTGCAGACTTTAAGATTTGTTTATAGGGTAGAGCTTTTGCAGCTCAAGGTTGAGGATTTGGATTTCAGGTTCAGAGGCTTCAGTGTCTGGGGTTCCGTTTCGCGCGCATGAGGAGCTGTTAGCGTGCCTTTTGGGCAGGCCATAAGCGTAGATACTGTGGAGATGAGAACCCAAGTTTGAGGATCCGTTTTGGTGATTGTACTTGGGGTTGTACTTTGGACCTGAGAAAGATCAGGATTTCTCAGCATGACAAAGATAGTTGGGCTCTCAGAGCACAGGATTGTGCAGGGTCTGCACAAGATAAGAGGATTTCTGGTAGCCCCAACCCCAACCCCTCAAATACTGATCCTAGGAGAGCAACGTGAGCTTCCTGGGGATTGCACGAATTAATGCAGCTGTATCAATCCTTATGGCAAATACATGCCGAACCTCTTTCAATCTATAGATGAACTCCCCCGTTCAAACCCGCAGCGCTCATGAGGGCTCCCGCTATGGGGTCCCTAATGGCCCGAATTGTGGATGGAGGAACTCCTGTACCACCTTACTGCCTAACTCATGAAATGCCTATAGACGTTATGATGGGACTTTGGGTGGTGCAAGATATCTTCCATTCAACAGCAAGGGGAACTCAACGTTTCGCACAGCCTATGACACCCTAAACCCTAAACTAACACAGCCCATGACGCCCTAAGCCGTAAATCCGGTGAACCCTGAGGCACCAGCCCGCAGCCGCCTCTTGGCACCGAAACAAGTTTTTCTGCCTGCCTGATTCCAAATGTATGTAGAATAATGGCCTTTTGGGCTATACTTGGGGGTTTGGGGCTATTATTTTAGATACTTTTGGGGTTCAGGTGGTGCTTAGGAGGGAATGGGGGAATGGATTATAGGGACTATTATTATAGGGATTATATGGAGACTACTTTTGGGATCCATTCCCCCATTCCCCCCTAAGCACCAGGGAGTTGGTTTGATTGCTTTCACCCCCAAGACAGGAACCTCCTGACCATCATATGACATGGGGCTTCGGTCAAGTCCTAAATGGGGGTTGCCGGGTAGCCAATATCCTCTTGTTACCATCCTTCATTGAAAGCTTATAGAACCAATTTTCGAAGGGGCAAGAGTCGCTGCAAAGTGTGTTTGTTGAACTGCCATGTTAGTTTGTTTTAGGGTTTGATAAGACGGGGATTTTGGCAGGCCCGACCATATAAGAGTCCTATGATAGTGAGAAGGTCCATTTTTGGAGGTTGGGGTCTGCGAAATTCTCTTCTTGCCCGTGCACGTATGGAACCTCCAGATGGTTAAGCTGTTGAAAGGATGCATGCCTCAGCCACGTTTCAGGTTCGGTTTGGGAAAGGCAGGGGTCATTGTGATAAGGTGGCCTACGTGTTTGGCAGTTTGATGTGTAGGAGTTTCTCACGATAATGCCCGGGCAGTCCCTCATAGGAACCCCCATGATCATCTCAGTCCCCTGCATATCCCTCAGGGTCCCATATGGGTAGTTCCCGAAATTAGGGTCCCATTTTGGTACTCCCAAAGATTAGGTGCCGTAATAGAACCTATAGCCCCATAATTTGGGGAATAACCCATCATATAACTCCAATATCTACTTGTTTCCATGTCATTTCTCATGTTCTTTTCGAGTTGACTCTCCATTATTAATGATAATATTTCTGCATTCACATTCTCAAGAGAACCCCTCAACCCTAAACCCTAAACCCCTAAACCTCAGGATCCCCTATTTCAGCATCATGAGGACATCGCAGCCAAGGTCTTCCCCCAAGCAGCCGTTCCTTGATGCATTCTGTGCCGTCATCTACCGGGTGCTTCGTAGGGGAATGAGGGAACGGATCCCTTACCATAGGTTTAAGGGTGTAGGGGTTTACGGGTTTAGGGAGAAAGGGTTTAAGGTTTTGGGGTTTAGGGTTTAGGGCGTAGTCCCCAGAACTAGCCCCTAAATCCTAAAATCTATAGTAGTCCCCATAGCCCTGTTCCCCATTTTCTACTAAGCACCACGGAGTCATGCAGGCGGTTCCTGGAGATGGATATGTGCCAAGACTAGGTTTACACACTGCTCCTCCAAAAGCTGGGTTGCTGTTAAGGAACTTAAAGTAAGTTACCATAATGGGTATATATAGTAAATAGTAGGGTTTCCACAATATAGTAGCTTAATTTAAGTTCCTTAACAGCAACCCAGAAAGAGGTCAGTATCAGGACCCTGCTCTAGTAGTGAGTACTCCCGCTAGTGGGTAGTTGGAGTGCCCATGTGGGATGCTTAAAAGGAGGAACCGCAGGAAAGCACCAACATCTGTTGACACATAGTCCCTTTCATGTGGGTGGTGGCATTATGAATTGTGAAGCTTTATGCAGCCAAGGGCTTTGCCACCGCCGCCACCGGCACAGGAAGATGATCCGATGGAAGCGGAAATCCGACGAATGATGCAGCAACAGCCGCTTATAGGCACCAAAACAGCGTTATCAATGTAATGCAGTATATATCATATTCGAAAGTTTCAAACCTCATAAAGTGGAGTATCCACCCATTCGGTGGCCAGGCTCTTGGCTAGGAGGAAGTGCTGTCATGGACTACGCTTTCCTTCAAGAATCCTGAACATGAAAGTCGTGGCCAGTATTTTCCAAGTACGCGATGTCAATATGCTACGATACATTCTGAACCCTTCTTATGCTATGAAGGGATGTATGTGGTCCACCCACTGGCTTCTCTGAAGCCATATAGAACTCTACGGAGCCCCAAGTACTGCAATCATTTTAGCAGCTCAAGAACTTTGAAAACGTGCAGATGGCCATGTCTTGGGAGCATGTGCTTGGTTCAGGAGGCGCACGAATAAAGAGCCCTAAGCCCCAAACCCAATCACTCATCCTTCTTCCACATTTCACCAGAGATGGTCTTTATGCCCAAGCCCATTAACTGCTTATGCCCAGGTGGTCCCGTCTTCCCTCCCTAAGACTCTGCACCCCAAACTCTATCTAAACAAAGGCAAGAGGAATACAAAGCCAAGCAGAAGACGCAGAGTCCGGGGCCAGGCAGTCACTTGGCGTTAGACAGGATCCAGCCAGTTTTGGCAGCTCCTTCCTGAAGTTCTAGGGGAGATATCTCAAGATTATGGGTCCCCTTTCGATGTCCTTCTTTCACAATATCTGTACTTGTATATGGGGGAATGCAGGGGGACCCTAATTTTGAGAGAAGTCCAGTTGTCAGTTTGTGCAGCTTGCCATGGACGTTGCCTTTGCAGCTGAGGGCCCATGGTTGTGCCTTTAACAAACCAACGAAACGTGCCTTCTGCGACTTGTTGCTGCTGTGAGCGCAGAGAGTTGTCAGACAACCATGTATTCCAGGCCAGTTGCTGACGCGAAAAAGTAAGGCGTGGCCACAACCGTCCAACATGGTGGCGGAATGCACTTTCGGTTCCCTCATAATCTTAGCTTGCTGGGCAGTCTCATTGCAAGCGTCACAATGTCGCATGATTTGGTGACGGTAGCAAGCAGGCTTGGGACACGTCTAGGCTGGTGAGAGAGGCTGTCGCCACTTCAACCAAGGATCATGACCCGAAATGCGACCAAAACTTTTGCTTGCATTGTTCTGCATTCTTCTGCATGGTGTCTGTGTCTTTTTGTGATGGCATCAGGCGGCAACATGATACCCAGCTGGCGCGACACGAATGGCAGCTAAGGTATGGGAGAGCCGATGGCTCCGAGGCCTGGAGGTCGCGGCGACAAGGATGAAAATGGCAGTGGCAGCTGCGGTTGTGGCGGTCGTGGCAGCTGCGGCCCGATTTGCGGCAGTGGCTGCTCTGGGTGCGGATCATGTCGTGGCTGCACCGGCTGCGGCTGTGGTGGCTGCAGTGGTGGCTGTGGGTGCAGTGGATGTGGTGGTTGCAGCTCTGGCTGTGGCTGCAGCGGCTGTGGCTGCGGCGGCTGTGGATCATCGTGCGGAGGCTGCGGCCCATGCTGCGGTGGGTGCGGCCCTTGCAGAGGCGGATGTGGTGGATGCGGCCCATGTGGCAGTTGTGGCGGAGGTCCGTGTGGTGGCTGCGGAGGCGGATGCGGAGGATGCGGTGGCTGCGGATGCGGCTGCAAAGGCTGCGGTGGCAACTGCGGGTGCGGTCCAAGTTGCGGAGGCTGCCGCGGCTGCGGATGTGGTGGAGGATGCGGAAGCTGTGGCTGTGGCGGCTGCAGTTGCGGCAGCTGTGGAGGCTGCGGTTGTGGAGGCTGCGGCGGCTGTGGAGGCTGCGGAGGCTGTGGAGGATGTGGAGGGGGTTGTGGCGGCTGTGGTGGTTGCGGATGCGGAGGCTGTGGAGGCGGATGCTGCGGAAACTGCGGTTGCGGAGGTTGTGGTGGAGGATGTCGTTGTGGGGGATGCGGCTGCGGGGGCTGCGGATGCGGTTGCGGCGGGTGTGGAGGTTGTGGCAGTTGCTCCGGCTGTGGCTGCTGCGGCGGTGGATGTTGCGGAGGCTGCGGCTGCAAAGGAGGATGTGGCTGCTCAAACATGGGACCTGGCATGGGCGGCAAGGGCATGGGCATGTGACGACAGCACGCTACCTGAAGAAGGACTTGAGAGTATGCCCAGGATTTGAGACTAATTGTCGCACCGGCCATGGCACCTGTGGCAAAAATTGGTTTCAAAGCTTGGCCTTGCATGCTTCAGCAGATGTTGTTTGCAATCAGCGTAGGGGACTGAAAGTCGCTGCGGCACTCCGGCATGTCTCTGGCTAGAAGCGAAGGACGCGGCATAGGTAGGAGGAACAGACAGTGTCGTTAGCTATCAGCTAGAAGATGGCCGTCCCGCATGTTGATGAGTGACAATGACATGTGCCCATGCAAAGCATTAAAGGCAGGTGAGTCTAGCCTAGCTGTGGCATCATCTGCTTTCCTGCAACACCCCCTCTTTGAGCCATGCCTGGATACGCTCAGCAAGCTGCGGCCAAGACAAACACCTCCGATAAGAAAGGCCTCTTGGAGGTTGACTTTGGAAAAGGAACTGCCCAGGGGTAATAACAGTGTAAGATGAGTTTAGTGTTTAGGGTTTAGGGTTTAGGGTGAGTACTACCTGCTCCATAGTGACAGGCACGCATCCAAGCAGTGGTCATGTTGCACGCATCCAAGCAGTTGTCATGCCGTGGTGATCCCCAAGATAGTACCATCATATAGTAGAGGGAATACCTGTTAAAAGGAGGGGAGGGGAGTGGAGGGATTCAACCATTTGCATCCTGAAGCACGTTCAATGAAGAAGCTGGCAAACCTACAATTAACCAAGATGTCTCTTTCCTTCCTTCGGGTTAGTAGGAAATATCGGAATATGCTCTATAGGGATGATAACTCCCTACAAAGAACCAATACGTTTCCTGTGCAAGAACTGCATGAAAGCCTCAGATCTAGAAGTGCGCCGCGAACCCCTATAGAGAACTCTCAGCCTCAAGGCTAACGGATTCTCTGCACATGCCTGCATGGGTTTAGTGTGTAGGATTTAGGGTTTAGGCCTGAGGGTTAAGGGTTGAGGACCTAGACCCTCCGATTACCTTATATGGCCTCAGTACCAAGTCTTCTAGCGGCCCTAAACCCTATGAAGGGATCTTGGGAGGTCTTGGGGGAGGGCCTTTAAACCCATGGCAGTAGTATTCGCCCTACCCCCGCCCCGGCCCATATGAAACTCCCAACCCGGTAGAACTAAGTAGTCCTTTTGTGGTGTCTTATACCTGTCGGAGAATAGTTATTCTCAGGGTGGTTGCAATATTGGCCCTGAACCCTAAACCTCAGATCTTTTCCATTCCCCTCACACATCCCTATGTGAACTACGGTCAAAACCAGGCTTATGAACCCTGAATAGGGAACATAGGGGCCTCGTTTAGTAGTATAGTCCCTAAGAAGGAACCAATGTCCGTTAAACCATGTCGGAAACATTGGCTGTAGCTTGTTCAGCGATCTAGGAATCCCCTCCACGACTCTTGATTGAGAACCCGGATAACCAACCCTCAGCCCTAAACCTAAACCCAAAAGAAAATCCATGTCCTCTGGAGCACAGGTCACCCGCCCAAGGAGCGAAAAGATTGTAGGCCTGATAAGAGCTTCCCGAAAGCCATGAGCTATAGTCTAAGCTCCTTAAAGGGGGTAATATAGGGGATTATATAGGGTTTAGGGTTTGGGATCTAAACTCCTCAAAGGTGGTTACATAGGGGAGCATAATAGGGGTTTATGAAGGGGGATACTGGGAGCTTAGACTATAGCTCATGTAGGGGGACGTGGGGACTTGGAGGGGCAGGGGGGTTTAGCAAGTGGGGGTTTTAGGGTTTAGAGGTTTGGGGTTCTTAGGGTTTAGGGAGTGGGGTAATCATGGGGAGATTTGGGGTTATACTACGTACACTTACGAAGTTCCCTTAGCCATCTAGGGGGTGGTAAACATTGTGGTGCCTTTTGGCGTAGCCAGATACCTAAGGCCGTGTCATACTGGGGACCCAAAACACAGGGTAGTTAGCACAAACAGGAGGAAGCCCAATGTAAGACCCCCAAAATGGCATAATCCTTATTCTGGGAGCCCCCTTAAAATGGTACTCGAATTTTAGGAAACCCTAAACCGTACAAAACCGCTACATTCCCCTTGAAGGGATCCCTAACTTTTGGGGAAACCCCAAACCCTAAACCATATTTTTGACAACCTACCTCGCAGCTTAGAGCTCAAGGTCAAGGGTTTAGGGTGTTGGGTTTAGGGTTTAGAGTCTAAACTCGTCAAAGCGGGTTATATGGGGGGGTTATATCATAGGGGAGTATTCTGGGCATTACTAAGGGGGATACTAGGAGTTTAGACTATAGCTCATGTAAGGGCGTCTACTTTAAAGCTTGGGGGTTTGCAGGGCTTGGCTTAGGATAGAACATCTTCTCAGACGCGCTAGAGTCCCAGCACAGTTTGGTCAAAAATCTCGATGCAACGGGGATATAGCGCAAAGGTGGATGTAGAATGTTATTGTTGCGCAACCTAAACCCCAAACCCGAAGGGTGTGTAACCCCCAAATCCTAAAACCCGCTATTGTTGTGCAACCCGAACCCCTCTATTCCTGTGCAAGCCTTCAGCATGCAGTCTCAGATGATAGGCCAGATCGGGTGAAGCCCATGAAGTTCGAGAACGAGAGCAGCTTGCCTGCAGGGTTTGGAGTTGAGGGAAGGAGCATCAACACCTATAGGGTTTCGGGTTTAGGGCGTGGACCTCGGCAATCCTGCAGCAAAAGGGTACCTCTATGTAATCCCTATAGTCCCTTTAGCTTCCATTTTTCCATTATCCCTATATAACTGCCATAACTTCTATATCATCCCTAATTTCCCTATTTTTTGTGAGTGGCTAGTAGTCATGGAGGCCTGGATTCCTAGAGCAATTCCTGTTTCACCCTATATGAGCTATAGTCGAAACCTTTTAAAGGGGGTTGACTAGGGGATTATGTAGGGGACTACATTAGGGGTTATCAAGGGGCTCCTGGAATTTAGCCTATAGCTCATATACTTCGTTATACTGGCATGGGCTGGGGCAAGTCTGACGAGTTTTGCTTGCCTCGAAGCTTACAATGCGTCCACAAGCCTTCGCAATTCTGAGAGCCTCATAAGTCTTTTGGTGCTCGCATCAACCTATCCAACTACCAGTATCTTCCTTCCAGGCCCCTGATTTTCTCCTGAAGTCCAAACCGTACCAAAAAGGAGCCGAGACAAGCTTGCTAGCCTTGACTGCTGACACTGGCAAAGGTGGCAAATGTGGGAATCCAGCAGAGGATAATTGGCGCCCGGGTAAGCGAATGAACATCCAGGCCGGGTTTTCGTGATTCACAGGTCACCTCGACACAATTCCTTGGCCTTAATTGTGGTTGGCAGGGAAGAAAGAATGGGTTACGAGTTATATTGACCCCAGTCTTGATCCTATCGAGATTACTGTAGGGAGACATGTCCTCGCCTTCCCTGCTAAACGGGAGCAGGTGGCAGGAAGCAATAATGGACCCAAGGTTTAGAGATTCGGCTTTGAAGGTTTGGGGTTCTGGGCCCTTCTGCTCATGCTCCAAATACTGCGTGAGTTCGGGTTTAATTTGCGACCATCGCATGGCAACCTGCAACTTGGAACTGAGCTATCAAGCCCAAGCTGGATCGACTGTGGACAGCCCAATCCACCAGGCAACATAGCGACACGGGTCAGGCTCGGGACATTTTGGGTGCGTGCTTTGGGAGCATCAAAACGCAACACCGAATTCTGAACACACATCTATTTCCTGCACGGAGGGATTTGCGGCTTGTGCTTCTTGGAGAGGCACTAGTTTCGGCGGCTTACGAGGCTCAGCGTCTTGTGCCCACCTTTCTGTTCCGGCTCATCCCGCTGAATTTCCATCCCACTCCTATAGTACCCCTATATAAGCCTATTACCCCTACATAACCCCTACGTACCCCTAGGACCTAATTTCTATCCCACTGCAGGTCTCTCAACCTGGAGCACACCCTGGAAAAAAGCAGTCGATTGTGTCGAAGCCTCACCTTGAAACACCACATCGTGAATCCAACGAGCAGGCCACGCGACTCTGGCAGTTCAAGCCCAAAACTCAGAATGGGTGCAGGGGACACCCACAACTATGAGCCCCAAACCTCAGATCTCCAAACCCCACGACTTCAAAACAGGCGAGCCCCAAACCTCAGATCTCCAAACCCCACGACTTCAAAACAGGCGCAGGACACGGGACGAATACAGAACAAGACGATCGTGTCTGTGGAAAGCCCAGACTCCTGACTTGAAGCCTGGGGTTAAGGTGTGGGTCTTAGGCTTTGGCCTTGGCAACTTAAGGCTTAGAGTAGGGCTTCGGGTTTCGGGCTGAGTCTACAGTGAACGCCAGTATTGAGGAAGCTCTCCCCCAAACTGACATGGAAATCCTACGTATGGACAGTACGCAGCCTTTACACGGCCCCTTGCCTCGGAGTTCATTCTTTTGGGGGGAGAGGGGTTTTGTTCAGGTTTTTCCTCATGTTGAAGGTATAGCTAATCCCTAAACCCTAAACCCTAGTTTTTGTTAGCTTGGCTTTCCAGGTGGAGTTTTGAAATGCTTTCTGGAAGGTTTAGGGGCTTGGGGATTTCGGAGTTGAGGGTGCTGTGGAATTCTTAATTTGCATGTTAGGGTAGGGTTTAGGGTTTGGGGTTTAGGTCAGGGGTCTCGGACAAAGGCTGAGGCAGCCGCAGGAAGATCGACCTGCGGCACGCCAACCCATTCACCCCAAAAGCGCGTGCGATCAAGAATGAAAGCCGCAGAATATGGGGACCCTAAACCTGAACCCTAAACACTCATTGTTGGGTTGAAAAAAGGTTCAACCTTACACCTAAGCCCTCAAAAGTTAACAAAACCTAAACCCTAAACCATCAATCCCAAACCCTAAGCCCTAAACCCTATGGCTGCATTTGAGAAGCCTCTCAGTGCAAGAAGGGTACTAGGTAGGGTCTATAGGCTTAATGGGCGAGGGAATATGATCCGTATACTATTCCTTTACTATATTCCCCTCATTCCGTGCTCACTCCCAGTAAGATGTAGGACTGGATGAAGTCTTTCTTCGAGAACAACCGCGGCTACTTCGAGCAAAAGGGGATTGCCCAGAAGTTGAAGAAGCCCGCGAAAGGTCGGACTGCTGTCTGGGTTGCTGTTAAGGAACTTAAATTGAGTTACTATATTGAGGAAACCCTATTATTTACTATATACACCTATAGTGGTAATACCTTAATTTAAGTTCCTTAACAGCAACCCAGCTGTATGGCTTTTCATGGCTTCAAGGTCTATTTACTGGTTGTTAGTAGGGAATCTGCCAAGAACACACTACTTCAAAACCTATAGAATTATTCCTGCATGCTCTACAACCAGTAAGTTTAGGGTTTATAGGGCTTCAGTCCTCAACCACCGGTAGACCCTTTTGGAGTGTTGGACTTAAGGTTTGGGGGTTTAGGGTTAGGTTCGTGATTCTCAGGCCTTGTCAGTTCAGGGCGTGGTGGTCATATGATGGAGTGAACAAACTGCACCTGCAGGCATCTCTCACCACAAGCAAATCCTGAGCCGTGAGCCCTAAACTTAAAAAACTAAAACCTGAACCCAAGCCTAAACCTATGTACTGTTGCGGCTTCTAAGACCGGTGAGGGCTTGGGGTCTCGGCCTGTAAAGTCTTAGAAGCTGCTACGAAACAGAAAGCCAGGCCGTACAACGAAAACCTCAGTTCGAAATCCAAATAGTATAGAGCTTAGATCCCATCATCCCCAAAACCCTAAACCCTAACCCTATGCCGGAATCTCCTAGACCTAAAGCATGCAGCCCCTAGGTGAAGAAGGTCAAGGCCATGCTGCAGGTATTGGCAGCGCAGCCAAACCGCAAGGAAAGAAGGTAGGAGCCGCACTGCCCCTTGGCTTCATAGGGTTTAGGTTAGGACCCCCCACCCTGTAATAGTGGCTATAATGGATATAAGGATTATGGGTTTAGGGTTCAGGGTTTAGGGTTTAGGGTTTAGGTTGGTTACTGCCCCCACTCAGTAACAGTCTATATTAGGGGTCCTGTTCAGGGCTATTCATCATCCAACTGTTACTGAGGGGGGGGGAGCAGTATCCAAGGTTTAGGGTTTGGGTCGGGGTTACATAGTTGGAGTTTCTTAGAGGTGAGAGAAAGGGTTTAGAGAGGGTTATGCAGGGATGTATACCCCACTAGTGGAGAATCAAGTAGCGAAGAAAATGGATGCTGACATGTAAGCTGGGTTACTCCACCCCGCAACTACCCCCGAGTCTGGCCTATCGTCCCCGCCTTTATAGGGTCCCCCAAAATCCCAAGTCAAGGTACTTAGAGGCTCCTTATAGGGTTTAGGGTTTACTTTTGGCGGTTTAGGGTGTAGGGATTATAGTCAAATTTGTGTTGTCTTGTGTTACACCCTAAACCCTAAATCCTGAACCCTAAGCCCTAAAATCACATCCAAAAATCTTTGCCAGTCCGAGGACCCAAATATAGGTCCCCATGTACCATGTTGCCGCTTATAGGGGCTCCCCAAAGTATTTCTAGAACAGTCCATACATTTCGAGAAGCCCCCACATGGCACGATGGTCTGCGCAAGGCGAGACGAGACGGGCGTCGCGCTGAGCCAAAACCTGGGCTCCGAGTGGTTCGGCTATGTTGAGAGTAGAGACCCTGAACCCTAAACCCTGAACCCTAAACCCTAAATCCTAAACCCTAAACCCTGAACCCTAAATCCTAAACCCTAAACCCTAAACTTGGAGGGCCAAGGTTGCTCATGACCTGCTTCTCATATCTCAACACTGTCCTTTTGACCCGGTCATAGCTCCGGCATTGGACTGAGCAGCTTACGTGCGGGCTCGAAGTTATAATCGAAGTACAATGACTCCAATTTCCTAGCCCAAGCCCCGTTCTGTCCCAGAACGCAGACATCCTAAACCCTGAGCCCTATAACCCTGAGCCTTACCTCCTGAAAAGCTTTTAAACCCTATACACTAAATACTAGAAACTCTAGACGTGTACCCTAAGCCTTTCAAGCTCTAAGCTCTATAGAGTTTAAGGTTTAGGGCCTAGGATTTTGGGTTTAGGATACCTTAAAAACCCGAGCCGTACACCTTCATCTCTAAGGGGAAGCCCGGATTGGATGAACAGCGCTCGCCAGTGGACCAAAATCGACAGAGAATCGCCTGGGAGCTGGCAACGTGCTGCTGGGCAGGGCAGTCCATGGAATTGCTGTAGGTTGCCCAGATAACTAGAACCTTGATGAAGGCTTTTGCGATATGCAACCCTACATACAAACCCAACCAGGAAAAAAGGGGCTTGTGACTCAAGAAATCATCTGCGAGGCTCAGACTTCAGTCCGTATCACCCCAAGCACTGTTCTCATTATTCAGGCCTGTAGACTCTAGATGTTTGTACAGCTTCTTGCTAGTTTGAGTAAGCATCTCCGTGGCACAAGTGATGTAACTTCCTGCCTAAACCCTAATCCCCAACCCCAAACCCTAAACTCCTAAACCCTAACCCCTCAGAGAGGGCCCTCTACATGAGTCCCTGAGACATCTCTGAGGCCTCCATAGGCCGCGCTTCCAGACTCTGGATACTAGAAATCTTGCATGACCATAGTATACTACAGTACCACGATTTCCCAAGTGTAAGGTACTCAGGGTCATGCAGGAGTTTTTGCCATCGACCGTGGCCACCACCTGATCCTAAACCCCAACTCAGTTTGCAACTTTTCGTTTCAGTGTGAGCTTGGATCAGCCCAGGCTGGAAATGACAGGCCAGAGATTTTACTTGCTGTCATGTTTGGAGCAATGTGGCGTCTGGGCGCGATCTGCCCCTGATGCCTGTCAGTGTCACCAAACACGCACTTGAAGCTTTGAACTGGCCATGAATGGAGCGTACTCTGCTCTTTTCCAGATATAGGCGGCCTGCTTGCATTAACCAAGATAAATTCTGCTTGTTGTTGGCGTTATCCCGTAAACGGACAATCCCTTTCTGGAAGCCCCCAGATGGAGGTTCACTTTCATGGTGCCAAAATCGAAGAGCAACTTGGATTCAGCTGTGCAGCAGAGTCAAAAGGCTGCCTTGCAAAATAGGAGTGCGCTGAGTAGTTTGTGTACGTACCATATTTGGCAAGAGAAAGCAGGATTGTATACGCCTTTTGGTATCTTATAAGACAAAGAAGAAGAAGTAACCATCAGCAACACACTCCTCAAATCCTTTGAGTTGAGAGTCTTCTTGGTGTTGATCTTGTTTCAGCGGTAGATAGGGAAAGATCGAGTTCTTGCAGGTAGCACTAATGTTCCGCAATATGCCTGCCTATGTAGTCTCAGCCTTTCTCTCGCAATTCTAGATTGCCCACAGAAAAAGAATATGGACAAGGGATTTCGGCTAGCAGGGAAGGAATACATGTACAAGGTATTACAGGGCTCCCAATTGGGAATGCTAGCTCGCGTGCCGCCCTAACAATAATAATAGGATTTTGGTAACCCCAACCCCCAAAATTAGGACCTTATAACCAGCATATGATAGTCATAGGGTCCTAATTTTGGGGGTTGGGGTTACCAAAATCCCTTTATTCAACAATGTTGTATCTTGCCACTTGCAGCTCAGGTAGGTCGGCCAACAACATGCAGCACTTGGTCGTGTCCGTGACTTGCAACGAATCAAAATGTAGAAGCCTGAACGCTTGCCAAAATTTTGAGGTCCTGGATTCCTCGTATAGGCAGATGGTTCCTCAAGTCTTGGAAATGGACTTGGACATTGCTTAGGCCTCTACACTGCACTCCCGACACCTTAGAACATTATGCTAGGGTCACATCGGTTAGAGTTGGCGCACGGATGCAAGGGGTTTGGCTTCAGATTATCTACAGCAACAGTGTGCCCCTGATGGGCCCCCAAGCCATAGCTTTCACTTGTGCTGGGGGAGGGTCTCTATGACCACACGTCTCCTCATGTAGCTGCTCATCGACGCCTCCTAAGCGAAGCCTTGCCGTAGACACTCTTATCTAGGCTTCATATAGGGGTTACATAGGGATAATGGAAAAGAAAATGGAAACTACTATGATATATTGGAGTTTGTATTGGGATAATTCAATAAAATGGAACCTACTATTTAGTGTTTAGGGGGTAGTGCCCAATTTTCCCTTAAGTTTGGTCCCTTCCAAGCCCCCTCTTCTCGGCTCGAGAACTGGGGTTTGGGCGGTGCCTTCTTGGGGGATCCTGGCTTGAGCCGTAGAAGGCAGAGGTGTTGGGTTACAGGTCGCTGGATAAGCACCGCCCCTGCCCTCTGTTATGGCATCTACATCTCCCCCCCCAATACAGCAACTTAGGTCATACTGCCCGGGCGCACTTGTGGCTGGATCTGAAGCCCTGAATAATCAGCAGCCCTAAGCAATGTAGTAGCTTACATGTTCATGTCCATCTCCTCTGGTTATTTTCGAGAAAGGTGAATATTGATGGATCCCTTCCCTAAGAACAAACCTCCTGACCCACGAAGTGTGGTATTGTCTGTAATCTGCAGTCCTTCGTTCTAATAGGGGAAAAATCTTGTTAAGGGGTAGAGAGGTTCACTATTAGTAGGAAATAAGTACTTGCATTCACTTCAAGATTCCGGTTCATGCCAAGGAGCACACGCCTGAATGGATGCAGGTTGCCTCAGCCTTGGAGAATCTAGGCTCTGCTTGGGAGGGTTGTGGGGGTTTAAGTCATACTTGTCTCAGATGAGCTATAGTCTAAACTCCTTGAAGGGAATTATATAGAGGACTACCGAGGGGGCTATTAAGGAGGATGCTAGGAGTTTGGACTATGGTTCAGATGATGCAGTGGCACAAGCTTATCTTGTTCAAACTTACAACTGGGCTTCTGCATGAAGCGTGGCCAGCGAAGCAACCTGGGTAGGCCCCTGGGATTTCGGGGACCCTATAGAGGACTATGTTTAAAAGGGTTTTAGGGGCCGACCCAGCAACCAGTGCGTTTCGGGCAGCAGGCCTATGCCTCGGTGTTTGTGGCAAGCAACCTCGCAGTCCACTTGCAAAAATAAGTTGAATGGGGTTTAGGGCTTAGGGTTTAGCGTTTAGAGTACTTATGACTCTATTCAGCGGTCTTCGTTGGTTAGACGTAGCTGCAGCTATAAGTAAGGTGAAGGGGTTCGCGTAACCAGGGTCTAGGATTCAAGGTTCAGGCTTTGGGGCTTAGGGTTTAGGGTTTAGGCTTAAGGGATTAGGCTTTAGGGCTTAGGGTTTAGGGTTAGGGCTTAGGGTTTAGGGTTGAGGCTTTAGGGATCACGCTTTAGGGGCTTTGAGCAAAGGATCTTGTGCAAGGGAGCGTTCTGTACAGATTTAAATGTCCTCGAGCCACTGTAGACAGCAACGTGCAGCCCTCCTTCCCTCCGTTGACTTTGCGCAGCATGTCAGGAACGGAATTCTTGACAGGAAAAGCAAGCAAGATGGCATGTTCCGACAATGTCTATGACGACATGCGCATGAACAAGTGCTTTAACCCCAAACCCCTTTCCTTTAAGCCAGAACCTGAAATCAAATTGAAAGGCTAAAGACGGAGGACCTAAACCCTACATGGGTACAAGTCGCACTCCTGATTTCCACCTAATGCGCCAGGAGAAGAAGATTCCTTTTGCTGACTCCCACCCCAAATCCCAAACCTTGCTTCGACCCTGTGACAGTCTCCTAGAGTATTTCAAGTGCAGTAACCTCATACTTTCAAAGCTCCTGTATCTGATGCAGCATCCAAAACAAAACCCTTAAAACCTAAACCCTAAACCCACAACCAGACCCCTCAAACCCTAAACCTTGAACCCCAAAACAAGAACCCTCAACCCTACACCGCAAAACAAGAAGCCTACACCCTAAACCCCAGCTTGACAGCACAGGAATGTTACTCGGGAGACCCCTCGTAGAGCACGATCGGCCGACGACTTGTCAAGGCAGGGCTGGGGTTGACGGTTAGGGTTTAGGATTTATAGGGTTTGGGTTTAGGGTTAGGACTTAGGGTTTAGGGTTGGGGATTTAGGGTTTAGGCTTTGAGGTTCGGGTTTAGGGTTTAGGGTTTAAGCTTCAAGGTTTGGGAGGCTTCAGGTTTAGAATCTCGAGCTTAGGAGTTTCAGGGTTTAGGGTTCAAGGTTCAGGGCTTTGAGAGCCCAGATTCGTGTATTCCTGGATGACAAGACAGGGGAGTTGCTGGCACCTGGTGATTTAAGGTTTACCTGGACCCCAAAAGTATGTAAAATAATGGCCTTTATGGCTATTATTATGGGTTTAGGGCTATTATTTTACATACTTTTGGGGTTTAGGATTCAAGGTCAAGGGTTTTGGGTTAAAGGGTTTGGGTAGTTTAGGGACCCTTCTATACCCCCAATATGCTGCAATCCTTGTTCTGCCATGAACGAAGGGACCCGTAGTTTCCGTGCCCCACTACATGTCACCTCATACAGCGACTACTTAACAGTAGCCCAGTATTTCGGCAAGTGGCTTCTAAGGCTAAACACGGGATGGGTCTGACGGGAACAGGGTTTAGGACCCCTAGGAGCTGATGGTCTTGAATGACACCTGGCCAAGGGTAAATGAAGGAAGGAATTATAGACTTAACCCGGAGGTCTTGTAAGTTCTTGACAGCTAGGAAAGAAGACCACTTAACCATGTGGTGAGATCACTGAATTGCATTGCAACAGCATGAATGGGATTACCTCCCTAAACCCTACACCCTAAACCCTAAACCCCAAACTCTATAAAACCTAAACCCTAAACCCTAAAACCCCAAACCAGTTTCCCAGCTCCGTCCCAGCTGCGGGGTCGCCGATGACACGGATCCTGGTGTCACACTGCTTTGCCTGACAAACCTGCTGACAGGCTTCGGGTTTAGGGGTTTAAGGGTTTAGGGTTTTAGGGGTTCAGGGTTCGAGGTTTAGGGTTTTAGGGGGTTAGGGTTCAGGGTTTAGGGTTTAGGGGTTTAGGGTTTAGGGTTGAGGGTTTTAGGGGTTTAGGGTTTAGGGTTTTATGGTTTAGGGTTTGAGGGTTTAGGCTTTAGGACGTCTAGGGGCGATGGATTGAAATCTAATCTGGGGTCCCAGACCGCGACTGTTGTCATGTTGAGGTCCGTTTGAGGTACCCTTTACAATTAAACAAGGGATCTAGGACCACAAGATTGGTGGCGATCTGGCATCTATATTGGAATCCCTAAACCCTAAACCGCGCCTAACTGAAGGGTCAAATGACCCCGGACAGCAGCTCTGCAGAAACACTGGGAGCCTTCCGCAAGAAACTCCGGAAGATTGCGCAGCACCATTTTTCATGGTTAAGTTCGGACCACTGCCCACATCTCAGGTCAGGCTACAGTTTAGAATTTTGGGCTACGCCCTAAACCAGGGTTTAGGGCCCAACCCTAAACTCTAAATTAAGGGCTTAGGGAACCCCTAAACCCTAATCAAACAAATCAGGTTCTAAAGCTCACCACGTCATCCCGTCCCCTCTTACCGTAAGTGTCCAAGGACCCAAATAATGGGGTCTCTAACATTTTAGGGTTTAGGATTTAAGTTCAAATAATGGGGTTTCAAGGCACAAATACTGAAAAATGAATCGTATTTGGGCCCGAAAACCCTATTATTCGGGTCCTTGGACCCTTAGGGTTACAATGGAGCCACCCATCTCACTATGAGGAAGCAACTTACGCAAAGCCTTCAGGTTTGGATGTTAGGTGTTACGGGTTTAGTTTTTTATTTTTTTGGTTTAGGGTTTAGGGTTAAGGGTTTAGTGAGCCCTCTGCTGCCGATGGAGGCCCTCTAGCAATAAAACACCCCAGCGCGCAAAAAAACAACATAAATATAGAGTCTCCCTTACGTAGATGGGATTTGGTATGCGGGGATCGTCTTGTGACTTTAGCGAATGTCATATTCTATCCACTTCAGGGGGACTGTGCACGTTTTAGATGTCATCGTACCATGCTGTGAGTTTAGGGTATAGGAATAACGGAAAAGAGAATGATAAGTTCAGGGTACGTTAATGCACCAGGTACCGAAAGCTCATGCAGGCTTTCTAGTATCAACTTTGCACCTAGGCCCTGCAACTTAAAACTTATATACCCCCTACAACTCCAAATACACCAGAAGGCAAATAGGGAACCCCCCGTGGCCCGCGGAGAAACCGTGTATAATACAGACCGTCCAGTCCCAGTATTTGTAAGCCCATTCTTTGGGTGTTGGGTTTTGGCTTTAGGGTTCCCAAAATCAACATCTCAAGTTCTGCCTCTGCAGACCCTGAACGGTGCACAAATCCCAAAGCAGCTAGCTCTAAACCCTGAACCCTAAAACCTAAAACCCTAAACACCCCAAAACATCGCGGGCCCAGTTTTGTTGGGGTGGTGCCTTCCATCCTCACGCCGAGAATGGCGTTGCGGTGCCACCTGGCGAGCTTCCTGCGAGTTCATGTAGACATGAAGTTTTAGGGCTTAGAGCCCAGGATTTAGGGTAATAGTAGTTATAAGACAGGTTTGGGCAAGTCTAGAATTCCAAAATGAGGTGTTAGCCCAAAGCAGCCTAAGTATCAGTATAGTAATGTAGAGGTTGCTATACTAGCAAATGATTCTTTCCATTTTTATTAAATTACTATTACCATTATTTGCGTTGGGTTAGTATCCCCTATATTCATACATAGGATCCTTTGGGGTAAGAGTCCAAGTATTCAATAACGAGGTACTTGGGTTTCAGGTATGGGTTTTGGTATGTGTACAATCATTGAGTACTTGGACGCTCAGGGTTTTAGGGCCTTGGGTGAATGCCTTAGGGTCTTGGGTGAAAGGTTGACAAGCTAAGGGTTTAGCTTTTTGGTTCAGGATTTCTAGTCTAAAATGCCACAATCTCCAGGGTTGAGGACATTAAGAGGTTCATGCAGGATTTCTTTTACCCAGAACATGGCACAGTGATTGTGCAACGGAATTGAAGGTATGCGCGTTGAGCATTTACATCCTGTAGGGTTTAGGGGTGTTGGGGTTTTGGAGTGTAGTGGTCGGAGCTTTTGGTATGCAGTTTGGGTCCTGCCCCCGGCTCATTAACAGTCTATACTGGGGGTCATACTAAGGGCTCTGTATAGTAACATTATAATATCTATCAAGCTGGTAATGGGTGGGGGCATTTCCCGGTATGTATTTTTGAGGCTAGCTTAGGATAGCAGGGCTCCTCACCTGCTGTTTCATCCCTTGGATTTCTCAGCGCTGGCCCTAAGATTTGAATTTAGGGCGAAGTGTAGGTAGATAGTCAGATAGGTCCCCACCCACGAATATTGACCGCAAAAGACAATGGTGATTTCATCAAGTCGCATTTTGTGAATGTGCCACTATTGCTGTGGGGGTCCAACCTATCGGAGTGCTGGCTTCGTCGTACCTAGTACCCCAAGGGTCCAAGTACTCAACAATCATATACCTCCCCAAAACCTGTACTACAATTGCTAGCACCCAAATCCGAAATACCGAATTATTATTGGGTACATGCACCCTCAGGCGCAGCCTGAAATAAAGGTTGCGGCTAGCATTGATGATTTTGGATCTGAATGCGCCACTTCAGGGCCCCGTTTAGGTCAAAGAAGTGGTCCCTGCTTGGGCACCCGGAATATTGAAAAGGGGACCATCCTTTTGCTCAGTTTAGGGTTGCATGGCTCGTGGTTCAGGACTTCTGGAGGCCCCCAAGCCTGTTTATTAGGATTTTGGGGCCTAGTGGTGAGGATGAAGCATTATAAGCCCTAGACCCGGAAACGCGTGGAGTTTGAAGAGGTGCTACCAAATCAAGATAATATTCAAAATTGAAATGGGTTTCATGTTTCTAGTGCTGTGGTACCCAAGGACCAGTGGGTATTTGTCCATTCACATAACCAAGCGGTTTAACAAGTTAATGCTTGGACTTGAGATTCAGACCTAAACCTTGAAACCCTGCATCCCTAACCCTAAACCCGAAACCCTATAAACCCTTAACCCTAGACCCTCAACCCTAAACCCCAGCCCCGAACTTCGAACAGTGGCCTGCAGCTGGGCCAGAGTATCCTGCAGGGAGGGGTCCCTAAGTTATGATGGGTCTTGGGGTTGCTGCTGCTTAGGGTTTAGGGATTTAGGGTTTAAGGATTTAGGGTTTAGGGTTTGGGGTTTAGGGATTTAGGGTCTAGGGTTTGGGGTTTCGGGATTTAGGTTTAGGGTTTAGGGGTTTAGGGTTTAGGGTTTGAGGCTTAGGGTTCAGGGATTTAGGGTTTAGGGATTTAGGGTTTAGGATTTAGGATTTGGGGTTTAGGGTTTAGGGAGTTATGGTTTAGGGTTTGGGGTTTAAGGAGTTAGGGTTCAGGGATTTAGGGTTTGGGGATTTAGGGATTCAGGGTCTAGGGTTTGGGGATTTAGGGATTGGATTTAGGGTTTAGGGTCTAAGGATTTAGGGATTTAGGGTTGAGGGATTGGCGGTTTAGGGGTTTAGGGACTCGGCTCAGGGGACTAGTAATTAGGACTTAAATGGAGTTAGAAGTTTTACGCTGGCCAGCCCTCATTGGGGAAAGTAGGACCCTAATTCTGACCTACTAAGTCCTGGACCTTTAAGTGTGGATAACTACAATGATGAGTCCCAGACAGCATCGTTCTGGGATCTATGAGTGTAGTTATGTTTCTACTGGGCACCGCCCGGTGCATGGCAGTCGGCAGGGCGTGATACCAGGCTTCAGCGCTTACGGGTGTAGGGTTCAGGCTTTATGGGTTTAGGATTTAGGGCTTGGGGCTCAAGGTTTTGGTGGTCAGGACTGTGCAAAACTAGGGGCTGGTAGTCAAAGAAGATTAACATGGAAACTGCTATACTGTAATTGCCCTAGGCCTATACAAACATACAATTTCTAAAAAGAAAGGAAAACATCATTCCTAAGAGACTGCAGTATAGGCTTTGCGGCGTGTGCTGTGGGGCCTCATGGT